ATCACCGTAAACAAGCTAATATTCTTCCAAAAAGGCATATAATTATTTAATCGTATCAACAGACAAAAAATGGGTTCGTAATTGAAGTCATCATTTCTGCTCAAAACCAAAAGTGAACGCTACTCAATTGCTGTCCAAATATGCTCATTAATTAGGCCGCTGATCATATAAGAAAAATACCTGACACGTTAAGTATTAAATAAGGTATCATTTTCTATATATATATATATAAATAGCTGCTCATCGCGCGATAATTTATTTCAATTTGTTGCGATTTAAGAATATTCTAAATGATTTCAAAGATGCATTTTATTTCAATTTGCACACATATGTCTGTCCTTGCTTGGTCTGCACTGATCAAAAACCCATTCAGCCATGTTTCAGTAATTAAAAGGGTAGTATATGGGGAGCTAGGTACCTTCGTTACGAATTGCTGGCCATGGGTACCCACTAGCCTAAACTTTAGCTTAATTTTGCTGCAATGTGAAAAAGAATGGAGTCGTTTGCTGGGAAAGATATAAAATCAATGCAAAAGCTTAATTTTAAATATAGTAGTATACGAGAGAGAGGTGGGGGGGAGGGGAGTTCTTATAAGACAAACACATGGAATATGGAATATAGCCGTAGCATTTGACAACATTACAAGAGATCCATAGAGAGACATGTTGAGCGGATATTACCATACTACAAACTGATTGTTCAGTAATCCGTATAAAGAAAGATAGAGAATTTATTAGCCCGAATAAACTAACACTAGATATACAAAAAGATTTCATTTCCCGGTGAATCTAGAGCGCATCAGGCGCTGACCATGGCTTCGAAAACTATAATTTAGAAATGATGAACACTTTCTAGTAATCATCTTGTTGTTATTGCCATCAAATATTCCCATAAACAAACAAATTATGAAAAGCAAAGCATGGGTTCTCGAGCATAATCAAATAGAGAATTCAGCATTTTAAACGGGGGTTGGAGAAAAGTAAAGATAGAACAAGAGAAGAGAACAAGAGAAGAGACTATATAACCTAGACAAGGTCACGTCCATAAGTCACGTGATGGGAACCCCATGTTGACGCCGAGGAATATGGTATGTTTTCCTTCTTATACTATATTTCTTCCACGCCTGGGGAGGGGCTCCACAGCTGGGTTTAGCCATGGAATATTTGGACATGGAGAGGGAATATTGGAGGTAGACAGATTAGACAAATACTACACGGTGGTCATGACTTGAACGTTAGGGCTGCACTCCGTTTTCCATTTCTCACCTGCCACGCGCCTCTTTAATTTCTAAATACCAAGCTTAATTTGCCGTATTCTATACCCACCAGGATTTGTTTTTATGAACTGAAATCACGCCCAAAATTTAATGGCTAGATTTTTTTGTTTGTTTAATTACAAAGATGTTGGACTCCTAATCAAATAAAAAATTAATTATAATTAGCAAGCTAAGTAATGTTCTTTTTATTAGATTTGTAGTGCTAGCTCTTGTGTGTGCTATTTTATTGCTAATTAAAAAACAATTATCTTGAATATAATTAGTTGAAGAATATTATTATTGATACATTAGCGAGATCAATTTTTATTCAATCAATGAATTAGTAATTAGTGTGCCCAAAATCATACACTGAAAACTTCTCCGATCGTTTAGATTTCCGATATACATTGGTAATATTATTTTTCATTCGATCAATGAGTTTTTTTTAATAAAAAAGAAAACAAATATTAAGTTTACTTTTAAATAAAACTTTCTATTTTTTTTTATCTGGACCAAGGCCCATCACTTATTATCCAAAAGGAAGATTTTATTTTTCAATTTCCCATTACATAGGCATACTTTATTCCTCTCCCGGTTACCACTTGTTTTCTCGTTCTTTTTTTTTTTCAACGGAGAAATCTTATTTGAGTTTGATCATACTGAGATCACTATTACACAAATGAAAGACTTTTGATCTGTCAGCAAGATGGTTAATTAAAACTTTTTATTTTTAATTAAATAAAAAGATTGACTCACTTTTATAACAAATCTCTGATTCAAGTTAAAAATTATTAAACCAAACTATTTATCTTTTTGTATTAAAAGCACAAATTAAAGCAACCTAAATAATTTGTAAAAGTCATATAAAAAATAACCTGTATAACTATTACCACTACAAGCAATGTTTTTAGAACCAATTGAACGGGGTAAGGAACTGGTGAAGGAGCTGGATCGTGGGTTTTTTGGGGTTTATTCAATGGTTTATTGGTTCAACCAGTGATTCAATGCTGGTTCACTAAGGCAATTTTCTGGGTATGTTTTTGTTGATTATAAACTGATACTCGTATTACTAAAAAGAGACTGTATCTCAAAAACTTTATACATTACAAAAATCATAGATAAAGCATGATGGAGCCACCCAATAGCCAAGTAAATTATGTGATGATAGCTCCATTCAACCCAACAAAACCCACAGACCCAACATCAGAGTAATATTAATGTACAAACGCAACTGGCTATCTCCTGAATGACAGATTCAACTACATAAACTTGATACCTAGCAAGAGCTTCTACATGATTATAAATTTGGAAAGAAGAGAAAAACAAGATTTAAGGAAGCCCGCGTGTTGTTTTAGGAATAGAAATATTAAATGAATCATTTTATTTTTTATAAGGAAAAATTGCAGATGACCGCGATACATAGACTTCAATTCTTGTGATCTTTGTATGAAAAATATGAGAATCCCACAAAAGATACAAAGACATTTGAAGGAAAAAAATCCCAAAAGGAGATGAAGTATCGATGGCTTTCGGATTTGAGAGGTTTGTTATTAAAATGATGGATGGCGAAGATATAATAATCACACCGGTTCAAATGTAAAAAAGTCATTTAACCCGGTTCTATGGATAGATTTAATGATACAAAACCTAATTAGGTTTTATTTTAATTGTTTTGATATTAACTTAATTAAACTGAGTTAAATGGTGACACAATGAGTGAATTAACAATCTTATTAAATCGATCAAGCTTAACAAGGTGAAAATTAATAATTTAAAAAATTTAAAATATAGTTATTTGAAACAAAAATAATATAGATACATACTGATATAATGACTTGCAAAAAACATCCTATAATTCAATGATAGGAGCACTAAATTGGATCAGACCCTAAATTCAGTCTTCTATTTATAAAAGAAACTATATGTTTTTCCTTCTAACCGAAGCAAACAAAAGCTCGGTTGGTCGTACAATAATTTTGACCCAGATTTTCACGGGGGCATTAATTGGAGAAATTAAAGCGCGTGGGGTATCAACTTTTTTTTGGAAATTTAAAGGGAAAGTGGGTCAGAGAGAGTTTTGCATGTGGGTCTGCGACCCTGGTGTCGCCGGACACCCTAGCCACTCTGACACCCTTCTCTCACAATTCCCCTTGCCGTTTCAATTTTAATCCCTCCTACTATACTAGTATATTTTCCTGCTTGAAAGGGCCTTCTCACGTGTACAGCTCGATATCTATCGACAATTTAGTTGCTACGTGCGCACCGAGGCTAGAAGAGACCTAAAGAGAGTCTTCCCCTTCCTCCTCGTGGCTTATCTTGTGTCCATTGTGAAGTCGGACAAAGGACAAACACTTAATTGACTTGACTCGATCGAGCTGGCTAAATAATGGTCGGTTTAGGCAAAGAGAATTAAGATTGGGTCGGAACTGCTAGAGCAAATTGTGTTTGATGTTTTCTCACGCAAGTCTTTGCAAATGATCAAAACCTTAATTAATTGATTGTGCTATTCTTTTTAGAGGAAGGAAAGGGATCGGTCGTGCTAATCCTTACTGTGTCATGATAATGACTTCTATTAATTATTTAATTAAGTTTGATAAATTTCCATTGACGTCCTCAGAAAGGAACATCTAGTTCTTAAATTCTCGAGACATTGTTTAGCTTTTAATTATGTTTCTCTTAATTATTAATTACACCAAGATAAATGCAGGAAAAATTTATGATGCATTGGAATAACTAGTGGTGGCATTTAATTATATATTTTACACGGAGGAGAGAGGAAACCAAATCCAAAATATTATATATATATATATATATATATATATATATTTTGTTTCCTTGTAAAGTATTTTTCTATGGTGAAGGAGAAAGTGGTGGGGGAGGTTGTGGCGATGGTGAAAGAGAAAGTGATTATGAGATGATAATAGTTGTAAAGAGGTGGTGGAAATGAAATGAAGATAATTATTAAAATAATTGGATGATATTGTAACATAGATTACTATTTATAAAATATTTTGTAGAATTTTATAAGCGAAAAATATTTTTAATAAATGAATTAAATTTGAAGATTAAATTTAGAATATCTATATTGAAAAGTTTTCTTGTAAAATATTTAATGAGAAACAAACATAAAAAATGTTTTTTGAAAACAAACACAAAAAATCAAGAAAATATTTTTCAATAAAAAATATCTTATAAAAAAAATAGACTCTAAAAATGATAAAAAGTTGTTTACGTAAACTTTCTTTCCTCCTTATATCAGTATATTTTTTTAAAAAATAATCCAGGAAAATAACTAATGCATAAACTTTCTAAAAAAAGAATAAGCATGGAAGAGGCCATAATTGCAGCTTTTGAACAAGAATTTTTTTCATTATTATTATATATTTTTTAAAAAATTGGGTCTCGCAAACAGAACAGGAATATTCTCATTGAAGCAAAAGCTCACGAAAATCACCATTGATTAAATTAAAATAAAATCTAAAATAAAAATCTTATAGAGGAAACATAAGGAGGGAGTAGCTCTAGGGAATCTAAAAGGGTCACGATCCATCAACGTATAGAGATGGTGAGAGCTAGCTAGAAAGAGAGAGATAGAAAACGAAAAAAGAAAAAAGAATTCATCGTCAATTAGACTCACTCAATTCCCTTCCAATATTCCTTGAACAGTAGTTTTTTGTTATCTCAAATTCCATCCATTTTCCCTGCAAACACCACCATTAATATATATATATATATATATATATATCCTCTGCAAAGCTCCTTTCTATTCATTGACAATTATAAAAGTTTAAGGCAAGAAAAAGGGTCCCCTCCTCCAGCTCTCTCTGAAGAAATGTCTCTGACCTTTCTGCATCCTTAAATACACAACTTTCTCTTTTTACAAACTTTTCATCGAGGCCATCATCCCCGGAAAGACTGTGTTACTTTCTCTTTTCGTTCACCTTTTTTTAATCTCTCTCACTATCTGATCACTCTCTGCAATGCCTTCAATCACCTCACCATTTATACTTCTTTCTCTGATCTTCTATTGGATCAACCCTAGAGTGATCCTACTGAAAGAAAGCTAGCCTACTGGTCATTTCGAATTCTCTCTACTTTAACATTTCTATATATTCATCTCTCAACACCCATGCAAATCATGAGGCACTCATGATATAATCATTATATAATCACAACGACCCATTTTCTTTTCAAGCTGGTTATCCCCATAGCTCTTCTTTCAAAGATCTCACCTATTCACTTGCTTTCAGTTTTACAATTTCCTTATTTGTACTATTTTAAAACTCTTCCATTCTTTCTCCCTTGCCACTCACAAACCTGGCTTAATTTGATATATAGATCCCCGTCTTCTTCATGTTCTCAAGTTCAAAACACATAATTATGAGAAGTGTATCACCTTTTCCTGATCTTTCACTGCAGATCAGCCCGCCATCAGTGGAAGCTAAAGAAACGGGCTGTGATGGAGGATTAACAAGAAAAGCCCTTTGTAGTGATAGGAGCTCAACTACAGATTCTGGTAGTAGTGGAAGTGATTTAAGCCATGAAAATGGCTTTCTCAATCAAGAAAGGAGTTATAATCTTGGTCCTAGTGAACCAACTTTGAGCTTAGGGTTTGATATGGCAGATTTGAGTTCTCAAACACTTCAACTACCAAGAAATCTTAATCACCACCACCACCACCCAACTACCAAGAAATCTTAATCACCACCATCACCACCACCACCAACCCCAAATCTATGGGCGTGATTTCAAGAGAAGTGCAAGAATGATTAATGGAGTGAAGAGAAGCGTAAGGGCTCCTAGAATGAGATGGACCACAACTCTCCATGCCCATTTTGTTCATGCGGTCCAGCTTCTTGGTGGCCATGAAAGTAATATTCTTAAAAACTTGCACTCACTAGTACATTTCTGCATCTGAAGTTTGTTTCCTGTGTTTTTCCTCTTCTTAATTATTTCACACGATAGTAGAGATTAGTTGTTGATATAAATGAGAAGAAGTTTACACCTTCTCTTGGCGAATATTGTTACAGGAGCAACACCAAAATCAGTCTTAGAGTTGATGAATGTGAAGGATCTTACCCTAGCTCATGTGAAGAGTCACTTGCAGGTGGGGTTACTGTGTTTAATCTGCATTGCCTTGAATTTGTGTATTTGTTGGGAGATTTTCAAGATTTTTCAACTTTGTTTTAGCACTTTTATCGTTACATGTATCTGTGTATTGCTGTGACTAATTCGTAGTGGGGAGGGAAAACAAGGGGTAAGGACAAAAGGGCATCTCTAAAGTAATCTTAACAATGTGGACTTTTTCTCATTTTTCCTGTGGGTGTTCATGCAGATGTATAGAACAGTGAAGAGCACTGACAGAGGATCAGGTAAATTATATTGTCCTTAAGAACTCGATATGTACTCTCTTCCATGAAATAATTGTCTAGCTAGAGAGAGCTTTGTGATTCAAGTGTGGCCAAAAACTCTATCATTAATTTGATTTACTATTTCCGACTTAAAAAAATATATGTTGTTGGGATCTGATCGACTGACTGGTTTAATCAGTCCATATATGAATTATTTTTCTGAGTGTCTGATAAAGCTGGAGCAATGGTTCAATATATGATGATTGCAGGTCAAGAGCTGACAGATATGGGTTTGAGCCAAAGGGCAGGGATTCTTGAGGTGGACGCTTTAGGTTTATCTAGTGGAAAAGCTGATGCCAACAACCTTCCTCAACCTCTCAATAATCCACCACCACCACCACCACCACTATCTTCTATACAAAAAAATCAAAGGTCACTTGTGCTTCTCCTTCCTCCTTATCTCTTGTTTCTTTTTTTTCACAATAAGGTGCATCTTATCCTCTAAATTTGTTTAAAACGGTAAAGTAGAATTCCTTATTCAATAAATCAACGCAAACATATATACATGCACGCATTCACACAAATACCTTTGGTGATGAACTTCAATTTGGTCCAACATGTTCTGTCTTAGCTATTCGTGTAGACAATAGGTTTCACTTATAGAGTATCTACACAGATCATAATTAATGAAGCTTGCCTAGGGTTTCTAGGTTAAGTGTGTGATTTACGGACGTGTACCTTTCATAGCAATATATACGTGCCCTAGCATGCTCTTCATCCGTTAGATTATGAATGTTTCTTCATCCCAATGTATGTAAAAAGTCAAGGGCTTGGTTGCAATCTCGATGCTAGTACTTTATTCAAAGGGTTCTTTGGTTTGGTTTCCAGTGCACAACTCAGAACCTCAAATAGTCATGTTAACGTTTATAGCTCACCGAGTCATTAATATTTCATCGATGGCTGGATTCTGTTGACTAATTCCCGTCGACAATCAATTCAAAACCAGAAGACTGACTTTTGCTTCCCGTATTTGAATCTTCAGTATGGATTAATATTATTTTTTTCTTAACTATTAATATGATCTTATATATGTTATCTTACTCAGGACATAAGAGAAATAAAACAAAAATAAAATCAATCCTCTCTTCAAAAATTATACAATGTACGTAGTGGAATTGCTTCTCTAGTAGTAGCTGATAACATAAAGGAATGATTTAACTTCTGAGATATTGCAGTAACTTTCACATCTTCTTGTTCTAAGAGCTTTTAATGCATATTGTATTCAACTTTGAACGATTTTTCTCATTGATTTTCCACTGCACGTCAAAATCTTCCAATTAGGTGAGCCTAGATATGTATACCTAAATCTCAATTGATTATATCATGATTTTTTATTTCCTCACATGTAGAAGGAAAAGAAACGAGAGAAAGGAGACAACTTTTTGCCTACAATTATTTGTTTTAACGTATTCACTAGTAATAATTAAATATTGATTTCTTGGTGATTTTTTAACAGAAATTCAGGGCCATCATCAATGGAGGGTGATGAGAAAAATATATCAAGTCTTGAGGCTCTGACATATTTTAATTTCGAAGCACATGACCATTCTAAGGTATATGACTTTATCATCAAAAACAAAAACTTCATGGATTAGACACACACACACACATATCAATTATCTTCCTAATTAACTTCTAACTGATAATATTATCTGTTTCTATCCTTAATTAGGAGGACGGACACACGGAAGCCCTCCACATGGCTGCTAATTTGAAGGAGAGATTGGACTCTAGCTCCTCGTCATCTTCAGATATGTCGCTTAACCTAGAGTTCACCCTTGGAAGGCCAAGTTGGCAATTGGACTATGCTGAAACTACAAATGAGTTAACCCTTCTCAAGTGTTGATTAATCAGGCTAACAAACTATGAATTTATGATTTATCTAATCCTCCTTTTAATGGACCACATATCTACTAATCTTTATGCATCTTCCATGTTTCTTGGATTCTGTCTCAAAGGTGAAAGGGCGGAAACAAAAAAAGAAAAGAAAAGGAGACAACTTTATCATATGGTTAATTAATTGTGATAATGAGATTTTCCTTCCAACGGGATGCTCAAAAAAACCTTGAATTAATTATAAAGTAGGAGCAGCTTTCACCATGTCCTAAATCTCCACCCATCATCCTTAAAGGTTGTGCGTATATAGCACCTCTTAATCGAAGTGCCTAAGTTCTAACTGTCGGGATGTCTCTTAACTTAAATATATCAGTGCAGATTCAAGTTGTAAATATATTAGAATAATGTGTACATATGCCTTGTTTATCATTTGTAGTTAAAAAATAATTAGTATGAATTGATAGTTTATTATCATAAAAATATACTAAATAAAAGATCTTTTAGGAACTAGAGTTTATATATGTAATCAACATATAAACTCAAAATTAAAAAAACTCAAATCAGCTATATTTAAATTAAAATAAAAATAGTACTTATTTTTTAAAATATTTTAAAATAATAAAAAATTTATTATTTTTAAGGATGAATCATTTATCCTTAAGATTTTAATTATTACTCTTCACTTATGCAACTAGGATGTATATAATATACTTTTCAAGTTTTTAATAATACCATCTTGGTTTAGATGCACTTCTAAACAAAAACTTGTGAATTAAAAAATATAAAACTCAAATATCTCTCTACAATATAAACTTAAGTTCTAGATTTTAGAGAAAAATCAAAATATAAAATGAAAATAAAATATTAAATATAAGATAAAAAATATATAAAAATCTAAAAAATTCACGTCTCTTCCTTCACCCCTTGTGAAATTTAGAAGCTAAAATATTGAAATATTAATAAAAGTTAATTTTCATACCATTATCAATCATTAATTAATTACCATAAATTAAAAATTAAAAATTAAAAATTAAATTTAGAAAAATTAAAAATTCTTTAAGCAAACAAACCAAGAAATTTTTTAAATTAATTTTTCATTCACTTATCATTTATCTACTTAAAACAAATGTTCAACGATTAGCAGCATCGACGTATACATATTATAATTTGGGACATTGTCTAGTTAATTTGTCCTTGCCTGTCCCACGCCATACCCATGGAGGATCTGGATTGAAGTTAGTTGGAGAAGAGAGATCATTTACCTGTATGTTTAGTGTGCAATATTGTTCCTTCACTGGTGTATTTGACCTTTGATCAAAGGTAAAAAATAACCTGAAAACACCTAAAAATTCCCAGGACCCATTGACCCGATAAAATCTGTCATGTTCATTGCCATCTTCGAGCGATGATACTGTGTGCAAAGAGGGGGGGCCAAAATGGATTACTGTGCAATCCTTTGCATTTGCGTGTGCTAAATGTTTCTGCTTCCTTTAACTTAAGCTTCTCTTTACAAGGCAGTACCCAGCAGCAACAACGAAAGGTTTAAAGTTTGAATGGCCCTTTTGTATTGTGATTGATCCTTCGAGGAAACAAAGCTTCAAAAGCATGCATGTGCATGTACTGATATATATATATATATTGTCGAATGTCGAGGGGTCTATGTATTAACTGTGCAGGCACGTTAGCGTTGTTGACGTCTTCTCCTTCGACGTAGCTGTGTCTCTGGGACCATTTTTAAGACTTGAAGCTACAATTTCTCGCACGATTTACCTAAAATCCACCCAAAAATGTCATAAAAGTTAGAACAGAAACAGTTAATTGCTAACAATTACTTGTAGTGTCTTATTGTCAATCCACAATGATTGATGCTGTGTCCCTTGTTTTGAATTTTGATTGCAGACAAGATGGAGAACAGAAAGTAGAGACTAAAAAGATGGAACCTTCTTTTCGGCTTTCTTACCCACTCACCCATGCGCACGGTGCACGTCTAGCTCCCAGTTGGGATTAGAGATGGTGGTGGCGTTGTCAATTCGCCATCACCTCAACTTCACATTTATTGTTTATAGTCCAAAACTGACTGATGAGCTCCGACAGGACCACCACGTATATGACAATACTGTGGATGTGGATCAGCTACGCCATTTTAATATCACCAGTTGGCCCATGACTTCTTGATTCATCTAATGGGTTAATCTATACGAATGTTTTGGACTGACTTGGGGGCCCAGCCTTCCCTTGTCCCCTTTCCAGCCTTCTTCGTCTTTGACCATGTTCACTTGGGATTGGGGTGAGCTAACATATATTTTTTAAAATAATATTTTTCATGTTTTAAAAATTATTTTTAATATTAATATAATAAAATGATCTAAAAATATTAAAAAAATTACTTTAAAATAAAAAAATTAAATTTTTTCATCTTTTGCTTATTACAGTTTATGCAGGCGGCAACCAGGAAAAAAAAAAGAAAAAAGAAGAAAAAAAAGAAGAAGAAGCAATTCAGGATAACTGCAATGCAGCTAATTATATCGCCGGGGTGAAAAAGATGAAAAGAAAAAAAAAGAAAAAAAAGAATAAAAATATTATCTGTTGATGGGATAGCCTCTGCATTTTATTCAATTATAATGTGTTAGATTGATGTAGTAGTTTATAGTGTGGTTTTTTAATATTTTTTATTTAAAAACAATTTTTTTTTTAATTTTTAATATTAGTATATCAAAATCATCAAAAAATATTTAAAAACAATTAATTTGATATTTTTTTACTTTAAATATATTTTTAAAACACATTTAAATTTATATTCACATGCAATATCGAACAAATTTATAAAAAAAACAGTTTTATTAATTAAATAATTTATGTTTTTTTTTACCATGTTCAATACATGATTATATTTTAAATAATAAATTTTTAGAATTTAAAATAATAAATTTTTTATTTAGAAAGACTTGTTTTTATTTATTTTGTAATATCTTAACCGTTTTAATTAAATATATATTTGTTTTTAAATTTGTATTTTTAAATTTGTGTTAATTTATTTATAAAAAAAACTAATTCAAAGAAGAAAGCTTGGGTCCAACAATCATTAATGGGGTTGTCTCTGGCATGAAATTTCACTTTTGAGGTACCTACCCATAGGCTATATAGCTCAGAAGCAAATAGCCCTGACAATCCAGACATCTTGGTATCCTCCATGAATTTCTACAGGTTGCATCATTACATGATATCTTGTAATAGATCTTGTGCCCCAATTTGCGTTCCTGTGTCTGGCTCTCTAATTAGCCTTCTGTCCCAAATCTTTCTCCCACCATCATCAGTTTAATTCACTCTCTCAACGTTTCTTGATTTCTCCTTCCTCCCTTTTTTTTTCTTTAAAAAAACACAAAATATTTTATTTTTCTCCTAATAATACGTTACAATATTGAAACTTGGGATCGCCATAACCATCGGACGGAAATCTTGGTTATCAAATCGGTGGATCGATGGATTGATTCAGTTATCTATTAATCTAGACCTAACTTGCTTTTAAATTATTTGGAGAGTTGATTTTGTTAATCCCGAGTGATTAGGTGCATTAACCCTCGACTCAAGTGAGATCCGATTAACAATTCTTTTAAAAAACAAATTTGTATTATTTTATTTAAAATAATTTTATTTTATTAAAAAATCAATAGATTTAATTAAATTATTCGTAATTTAGATTTTAAACATACTCTAGATTAGATTGATTCAATTATTAAATGAAAATTATGTAAATTCAAAGAAAATAAGATACCAAAACATTTAGGTTTTTTCGTGACCGGAGCGCTGGATCCTGGAGGATTTTTAATGAGTTGAATTGGGTTGGCGACCAAACTTACAGGACAGTTTCTTTAATGGCATAGGAGATACTCTAAAGTTTGTGTTAGTGGATAATAAGAACAATGTATATAGCAAAGATAACAAGAACAAAATGCATGGAAGAGTGTGTCCTTGCTGACATTACGAAGAACTGAAAAAAACAAACACTTGAACATTTTATTCTAGAAAGAAAAATATCTTATTTTAAAAATTATTATTTAATATTATAATAATCCTTACTAATCTTTAAAAATTTCATGCCAAAAAACTAGTTGAATTGAAAAAAATATATTATTATTTTTAAAATGATTTATTTTAAATAAACTACATTACTAGTTTTATTTTAAATTATTATAAATTATTATGCAGTATTATCAGTGATTTATTTATAATATTTATGATTTTAATATTAATAAATATTAAGATTGATAATTTTTATTTTAATATTAATAAATATCAGAGTTGATATTTTTTGCTTTAATATTAATAAATACTAGAATTAATACTTGTTATAAAACAACATATTTTTTTAATGTCAAAATATAAAATACTAAACATGACAAAAACTAAACTATGCAAAAGAAGATAAATTTTTGTTGTGTTTTTTTCTCTTTTTTTTTTCCACTCTATACATTGGTTTTTTTATCTGCTCCTCCTAGAAATGCGCCCCCCCCCCTTTTTTTTTCGTTTTTTTTTAAAAAATCTTATGAGGTAGGTATTCATAGCATCGAGTTTCAAAGTTTCAAATAAATATAAATTTTAAATTTTTAAAAAATATAAATTTGTTTAAAATTTAAATTAAAATGGTTCATTAAAAATATTTTAATGATTTTTTTTCAAACTAAAAAAAAAGAAGAGAGTTGAAGCACATTATATATTCATAATTTTTTTACAAGTTGACAAATTATGTATTTAGCTGAAATTAATTCCTGATATTTTAAAATTTTATTTTTTAGAAAAAAAATATCTTATTTTAAAAGTTATATTTAATATTATGACCACAATAAACCCTGATTGATTTTTAAAGATTCTATTAAAAAAATTAATTATGCAATAGAAAATATGTTATCATTTTTAAAATGTTTTTTTTAGACAGACAACATTGTTATTTTTATTTTAAATTATTATGATTTGTGTTATGTTGTTAATGATTTATCTATAATATTTTTTACTATAATATTAATAAATATTGAGGTTGATATTTTTTAATATAACATCAATAAATATTAAAGTTGATATTTCTAACTCCAATATTAATATATATTATAAT